TGACTAATTAATGCTAATTCCTCATGTCCCAAATTCAGGCAAAAGTACATTGGTTCTGTTTTACAAATTTTAGACATCAAAATTTAATCATTTTATTAAAACCAATACACTTAAGGTGGATGTATATTTATGAAAGACTTGTATTTGCTGAAAATCAGATTTTAATCATAAAATTACTTATGCTTAACATAAGTGATTTCCTCCTGCCAGATATAAAATTTGTGAACACAGAGTAAACACAAATCAATATTTCAGTGTGTAGAGAATTCTGCACTCATACATTGAACAAAGGGTTTATATTGTGTTTATATTAACTAGCCAAATCCATGTCTTATGAACATTTTTCTTAATAATAATTTTAAAATAATTCAGCAGACGATGTTATTTTATTTATAGTAATTGATTTTTGGCGATTAACTTACTTGGTTTCCATTCTTCAATACAGTGCATTTAAAAAATGGCACTTTTGTCACAATCACCTTTTGGCTAGGATCAAAGTTTGGTATCTGCCCTTGAGCAGATAGACTATATTTATCTCTCATTTGTATCACTGTCTGCAGACAGAGTGCAACTGAAAATATTATTGAGAGATGCCCAGTCGTGGCATTACTTCCCTCACTGCACTATAGAGGAAGGATCAGCATTAATTAATAGCTGGGCTATTTTAAGACCTAGCCCAGGTAGATGCGCTCAGGCTCTTCACACTAAACTGACCAAGTATTACATCCTGCCAGGTTGGGGTGGCAAGAAAATACAATCATTTCTCAGCCTTTTGGCTAAGATCAAAGTGTAGTATCTGTTCTTATAATTTTAATCTGATTCTCTCTCTCCACTTCTGTCTTCTCTTCTTTCTATCATTTTCTCATTGAAATCATGCAGTGTCTTTTCCCCTCTTTCCATACGATCAAAACGGAATAGTCTATTGTTTCTAAGGCAGAGCATAATGGTTGTGTGAACTAACAAAGAGTGGAACAAGCATAATTATAATAGGATAGTGATTGGCATGGTGGAGTAATGGATAGCAGTTCAGACTGAGGAATCAGAGAGCCGAGTTCGAATTCCAGTCAAATCCATTACATTCACTTACATGCTAATACCCTTGGGAAAGGTATGAATTCTCTTCTTCTCCCCTCAGCAATGAGTAAATAGCAAGACAGACCAGGTTCTATAGCCTTGGATGGCAACTGGTCATGCCATAGAAAAAAATGGCAAAAATCTGCCTCATCAGTCATGTATCGAAAGATACATGATTGCCTAAGCGTGTATCATGCATGGCACATAACTGAGTGATTGCTTCATAATAAAGAAAAAAAAATCAGTTTTATCAAGGTGAGTATAGTGTGGGAAAATGAAATAAAATCGATAAATAAAGTAATATTAATGAATAAAAAAAACAGAATAGAATTGCATTTTCCTATGACGCTCGCAGTAAAACAACTGGAAATATGATTACCCCACTTTGTCAAACACTTTGTCAAACACCATTAGGCATCGCTTATTAAATCTATAAAAGATAATCGTTTTTCTTCCTGATCCTCTTTCTCCCCCTTACTCCAAGATGTAGCACCATGTGGAAATTACATTCCCACTGGGACCGATTGATCTCTCTTTTCATTTTCCAATGCATGGTGTTCACATATGTCTTTCAGAAACCTCCACCTATGAAGTAAATCAACCTTTTCTTTGGTTGTTCCAAGTAAGTCTTAAAAGGCTGACTTGATCTTGACCATTATAATGAAGCTTATCCTTACTTACCCTAACTGCTGGACCAAGAAAAAGAAAACAGATATACCATGACCATGTTTAAACCGTCCAACTATAAAGTAAGTACAAACTTTTCTTGGTTGTGCCAACTCTGTGCAAAGTTGACTTGAAGTTGACCATTAATACAATGCTTATACTTACCTTAACTTCTGTACCAGAAAAAGGAAATAGAAATACCCAAAAGACAACAAGAACTTTGTTTCACTACAGTTTATATAAAAAAAGATAACAGTCAATGGTAGAAATCCCAAGTTTTTGTATGCTTCTTCTGAATTGTAATCCTATCATACAATTTACATCAACCCTACAACCTTTTAAATGCCATAGTAGTAATGAAAAAGTCAAGCAAATAATGCTTTCAAAATTGTCATTCATTTTTTTATTTTATTTTTGATCTTCAAGAATAACATACACATTATCTTTGAGCCAAAAAATTACCTTAATTAATATAAAGTTAAAAATAAGGAAATATTTTAGAACAAGTCATTTCTACCACATATTTGCTAAATTAAGATTTGCATGTTGATTTTTTTACAGTTTATCAACCCTTTCTAGGTTATTTAAAGCCAATATATATTTTGGATAGTAAAAATAATTCTTCTTTTACTTTAAAGTGAATATTTCATTAACAATGTTTTTGAGAATAACAATACTTTTTCCAGAAAGATGTCCTACCTTAGATTTCCCAACCATATTTGCATGTAAGTCAATGTAACAAAGCCATCTGGGATTCAAATTCAGCTCTTTAGTATTGCACAAAACAAAAAATTAGCAAGAAATTTTAAAAGAAATAAAATTAAAAATAATTAGCAACAGCAGCTCACTCTTACCCAACAAAGCAGTTACTCAAGTTTGCCAAAAAACTCTCAGTCAAAAGTTGATCCACAAACAGCAATCAAGAAACACATGCACATGACATAAGGAAACATTGCTAACTCTAAATTTTAATATGTAGTTAAATACAATTATTAATCTCCATAGTTATATAAGAATAAGTAGGGGGAATTATTATATTAACATTGTAAGTACATTCAACTTGTATCACATTGCATATATTGTTATTTCTAACATTTTGTTGGTTATGTTAAATAAATGTCTCTTCTGTGATTATGTCTCTTTCACACGCTATTTTCTGTTGGGTTAATTGATTGGGTAGAGAGTTAATTATAACCCAACAATACCAATTAATATGTTATGACCCAGAATGACGATGATATTTCACCATTCTAAAAAGCAACCTTTCCCCCAGTGATGAATGATAATAAGCATATTTCATCATCCCGGAAATAAAGATAATTTCATTATTAAAAACAACCTGGTCACCAGTGATGATATAAGATGATGATATTTCATCATTCTAAAAATCTGAAACTTCATCATTATAAAAACGACCCTTCCACCACAAACGAGGACAGTAGAGTAGGGTCAGTAGAGTAGAGTATAGTAGCTGTTGTAAAAAGAACAAGACAGATGTATCACCATCGCTCTGTAAAAATCCACAGTTAATGGTCTCAAACGCTACCCATAACAATGAAATTCTTGGAACAAACAAAAACAAAAAAAGCACAAACTTTTAAAGAAACAAAAGAGACAATAACACTGAGAACATTTTTAACACACACAATACCAATATTGTAATTGATATCAGGAAAAGAAAAATACACATTCTTGTCATTAATTTCAATACATGTCTCACAGTCTCATTGTTGTTTTTTATTGTTGTACATTTTATTTGTTTCATTTTCAGTATAAAAAAGAGAAAAGGAATCCTCTATCAACTACAAATACATATAACAATGGGGATAACTTATATTAACAACTACACATCCAACCCTATTATAGACAATTAAATTCACTACAGCCATAATAGCTTGTTAACCATAACCCTATGAAGAGATGCTAAATTTTTTTGAACATGTTTAGAAATTGAATGGGAGCAAAACACTTAAAATTTAAGCTTTAAAAGAAGCTTATTGCAAATCTTAACATAGGTATTAATCTGAAAATTTTGAAGAATAATTCCTGAAAAAAGCACAAATGTTCTTAAGAGAGTCTCTGCAAATAGGATGAAGAAAAAGTTGAATTTACTCTGTTGGTCAGTTAAAGAGTGAGTGATGTTTATAGTCTAAGCCACGTACAGCTACTAAAGAAGTGTTGATTTTAGTGTCCTATCTCAATCTCAGCCCAAAGTGAAAGATTACAAGCCGAAGGCCTAATCAAGAACCCCCTGCAGGAGCTAGCTTAAATGCCACCTGAAAGGGCAACTTTTAAGCTGGTTATAAATATATTTGTTTCAAAATTACATTTATGTTCAATTTTATGTGAGTAGACATCTAATATGTGATGTCAGTATCTTGTATGCTCAAATTATTTATGGACAGGACAGGTTTCTGGTGTTTGTTTGTAAGCCTAAATGATCAGAAGCATATAAGATTTTGACATAAATATTTGTATATTTCTCCATTGAGGTCTTCTATGATCAATAAAATTGGTTCATTTATTCATTCCTGACATGTTCTTACTTCTTTACTCCTTTTGATGTTTTGTCACTCACTTTGAAGAATTTACATTTCTACTGCCTACCAAATTGGTACGGAAGTTTAGATCAATTTCTACTTATGGAAATAGTCTCAAGCATTCAGACTGTAATCTGAATGTGTGTTGTTGATTATGGGGAAGAAGTCCCCAGTAAAAGAGGAGGCACAAATCAAATTATTTATTATTCTTTAATAAAATTTCAGAAGTAGATGTATTCACAACTGTATAAATTTTGATGTTTGATTTTATAGTCAAATTTTGAGTAGTGAGTCAGGACAAAAAAATTTCAGTTCAATGCCAAAATATCTATTAGTAAGATTTGTTTTGATAGATCAATAGAATTAATTTTTTTTATACTCAAGTAAAGGATTATCCTCAGTAGTGAGCATTTAAGAATTTTTAATCTCTGATACTCGAATGATGTTCATAGCTACTTGTAAAAAGCGATAAATAAGTTATGCAAATATCAAATTATATTCATCGGGATTTTGATTGGCATTGCTATCAAATACTGCTTATTCGTATATTCGGTTGACGTAAAAAAAAATAACGACTTTAATAGACGCCATCGGAGAGCAAACAGAAAAATTGAATTCAGGGGAGATAATTCACTTGTATTTCCGGTTCCCGTTTTCCATCTTCAAGGGCAAGTTGCGGCAGTCGAGACAAACACCGAAGAAAAGGAAGAAGTTAAAAAAATGGCTTTGGCTCGTCATGCACTCCGATTTAATTCTCTACTTCGCCATGGAAGCCGCTTGGCAGTTGCTTCTATGCCGAAACAGACCAGGGGTTACGCCGACATGGCTTTCACTTTTGCTAGTCCCGGAGAGGTAAGTTAAGAAGACTAAATTTTAAAGGACACGACGACCGGTTTTACATGTGTACTCTTCATCGAAGCGCTAAAAATTTTAAGTTTTTAGAGACTAAGTTTATTAAAACTAAATTTATTTTATTGTTAATTTAGAAGATTTTTATATATGTATATTTTTTTGAGATCTTAGAATTTGTCAAAGGTCAATCTAGTAGAAAATAATAGGTTGTTTTTGTGTAAGTGATGAGATTTAAAAATCTCGAAATCAAGTAAGAGGAGACTCTTCTTGCTTGACCTTTTTCGTTTCTTCTTCACATTCAAGTTTATTTATTTTTCGACATTCGTATTGCAAATAAATATATACAAACTCTAAGTCTATGAAAAATAATTTTTGGAAGGGTTGTAAGTAAAAATATCAAAGTTATTGTAACAAGTTTTCAAAAAATCCAAACGGCGAAAGTTTACAAGAGAAAGTATAACAAAAAAATTGAATTGGTAATTTTATCATAAAAACACTAAAGAGTAAAAAAATTTTAAAATATTTTTGCTTCCTATCCAAAATTGGTTTTCTACTGGGATTTTTTTCCTAATTTTTCAAACTAATGCTGTCAAATTTTTAATAACCTGTGTACCCTTGTATCAGTACGTCACTAAAAAAAAAACGGGATAATAACAGCAAAGATGAGGAAGACAATAATCTACAGTGTAAAATACTTGTAATGTATTTGAACTTGTGCTCACACTACAGAAACCTTTCTTTTACAAAACTTTTGACAGCATTAAATTTTTATGGTTGCAGAAAATTAATAACCAAGTAATTGTCCTGTTAACAATTTCAATGCAGCATCCATTTTCAATATATATTGTACAATGCATACAGTGTATGCTCAAAAATGCAAGCTAAATGCAACAAATTCAAGCTAATCATCATTGTTGTTATTTTAGTCACTACACTATTTATCCATGCCCCACGGGGGAAGGATGCAACACAAGGTTAGTTTAATGTGGGGTGCCATACATATAGGCCAAAGACAAAAATTGCCCAGCCCCCATGCCCACTGTTATGCTGGTGTCAGTATCCCTCAACTCTCCATCTTTAGTGCAACAAGAGAGATGCTGCCACAGGACTGGAATACCCCAGGACCAGCTCTTCTTTAAGAGGAAGAGAGAATGGGTGCTATATTTTGATAACCAGATCAGGAAAACAAGGTCTTCTGCTTTTGTTCACTGTACTACTCTCTAGTGTTTTTATGACCACAAAAACTATGGATTTCACAAGGCAATCAAATTGACAAAAGTGAGTTTACCACTTGAATAATTCATTAAAAATAATTTACTTCAGAATTTCAGATAACCATTTACTATTGAGAGAGGCTATTTTGCCAGTCCTGGTAAAATAGACAAACATGCTTTTACACTTATTTGACTGCTCTCTGTAAAACAGACCTTTAGGCTATTTTGCCAGTAAATATTTTTATTATTATGAAGGCTGGTGACTTTAAAATAACAACCTACAGAAGTTTATTTATTTTCACCGTCAATTGTTAAAACAAGTTAAAATCATTTATTTGTCATCAATTATTAAAAGAAATATAGAAGTTTTTGAATATTTTAAGTATTTCGGGCATAACAGTCACTGTAAATCCCAAACTTTTTCTTAGTCATGGTTCTCTTGCCAACACACTTCAGGTGCATCCTCTGAAGACAACAGTTGGACCACAAAATCAATGTTGTTGAAGTCCTGCTTACACAGCTCGTACAACTACACTAACGATCTCAAATAGAATATATTCTTAGTTCTAGAACAATATATTTATCAGCAAAATAGCCTTGATGTCTATTTTGCTGCTACTGCCAAAATAGCCATTAGGAAAAATCTATGAATTCAAGAGATTTTCACTTTATTAGTTTTAAGTATTTTCAATCAATTCTTTTTGAATAAAATATGAAATATGTGTTAATATTTATTGTGCTATTTACTTCCAAGACAAACCAGATAGTTTAATATCACATTGTAAAATGCATATTAATAAACTCTATCCCTCCTCTCACCATAAACCATTAAATTCTTCAGATTTTACAAGGCTGTAAGTAGCAATAACAACAATTTAATTTTCTATTTCTTCCTGTTCATACAGAAATTGCATAAACTTTATTCTTTTATTTAGTTGAAAGGAAAATTATCTAAATTTGTTATAGTAACTCTCATTTTTCTGAAGCAAATTCAATCTGTGCATACTGAAATTTTTCTATGTATTAATATACCATATGCATTAAATAATATTTAATGTGAATGCCAATGCACAAAGTCAACATTAAACTAGAGAGCTTCAGTCTAATGCTCTCCCAATACATATTTCAGCAAATGACAAAAACATTAAAACAACCTTCAGGATCAAAATCTTTATTGTACACTAGAGCAAAGAAACTATTTCTTGCAGCTGCATCATCATTTTTTTTCTTTTCTTTTAACATGAGCCTTTCAAGGTTAAGTGATAACATCAAAGGACAGTAAATAAAACTGATGCTAGTGTGAATTACAAACAACAGACACCTTTAAATATATTCTGAAAAAATGTATGAAATCTGTTTTAGAAAAGTAATCTGTGATTTTAAAATAACTTAAGAACTGGCTCTGCAGTCTTGATGTTACTTGGCAACCAATCAGAGCACAATAGGCTAGATTTGAAAGTTGGGGGTGGTGATTTGATAAAATTGGTGTTTTTTGGGGTTTTTATTTTGTTTTATAATCCAGAATAAATTTGATTTTTTAAAAAAATTAAAAAAGGTTCATGTCAATTTCCTTTCAATATATTACTTTTCAAAGAATTGTAAATATGTCTGGTGTTTGAAGACTTGAACATGACATTGGGAGGTGAGGATTAAAAATTAGTTAATCCTCTTTTTGAGGTATTTATTTCAGGGACTGCCAATTAGGAAACCACTTCCCAGTAACACTTTGAAATCTGATGATACTTGACATCAATTTACTTGCATCTAGGAAATTTTAAGTTTTCCTATGCATATTTTAAATTTTACAATTTATGCTGAAATTAGTCCACAAAAGCACATGATGGCATATAAAAACATATTTTCCCTGAAATTATGATAACTAAGCTTCAAACAATATAAATAATTGAACTGAAAACAACAAAAGTTAGGTGCAATGAAGGGAATGTTTGAAAATTTAGTCAAAACTAGTTTATGAAAATGTAACCCCAAATTCTATTATATGTGATGAAAATTACCTAAAAGGTGTCATGAGGATTTTATTCATTCATAAATTTAATTTCTGGTGTAAATTTAAAAAAAAAAAAAAATATCTGCTAAATTTAGACATATCCATGCAATTGTAAGAAATAAGGCAACACTATAACAGTCAAAACAAGGCAGCAAAACCTCTATACATGCTATCTATATATTCTATATTTGAGATAAGGTATTATAACTACATTGTTTGAACTGTTATCCTCATCTTTATTGTTATATGCTCCATCCTTCGTCAGGTAATATACATTGGAATTTCAGACCAAACCATTTATTTAGCCCACCTGGGGAGTTTGTTCTATTTTCATGTCATGCCTTTTCTGGATATCTCAGTTTCAGTTATTTCCCTTTAGTAACTCAGCTCTACATGTTTTTGTTCACCTCTGCTGCAGCCAGGTATTGAACTTGCAACTCACTGGATTACTTCATCCAACATTTTTATCCACTGGGCCATGTGTCTTTGTGCCCCCCCCCCAAAAAAAAGATCAATAAAAATTAAAAAAAACTCTTAAATAGCACACATTACAATTGAAAACTGTTGTTACTTTGAAGTATTATAGTTAAAACATCGGACAAATAATTTATGAAGTTAGATAAATTATCTGTACTTTCATGTTTATCTTTGTAATAGAATGCTGAATGAACTCTTGCAAAAGACAAGTGTTTTTGTTTTTCATCTTTCCATGTTAATGACTGAATCTTTGTTGACTTGCTCCTTAATATACTTGTATAAAAGGAAACTCTTCCTTTGGTTTATTCAGTTGGCAGTGAGAAGCTATTCTATGAACATGTGTATTGTGTGACAGTTGCATTCATCATGATAATGCCCATTCTTCATGTCTCATGCAGGGTTTTTGGAAAAACATTACATCATGTAACCTTACTTCCATATATGGCTGCTTGTGACTTTTTGCTTTTCCCAAAACTAAAAGTGAAATCCTATGGACAAGAGAATGTGATAAGGCAACTGATGGTAGTCCTGGAAGAGGTCCTTACAGTTTGTTTTGAAAAGGTGAAAGATACTGGGCATTTTAAAGACACTTGGTTGCCATTGTTCTTGGTGTGATTTGTGTTGTGTGTGTTAATATTAGATGGTTGACTGTTTTCCAGACAGCCTCATATATGTTGAATTTGATGATTATATCAAATCAAATTAAATCTAGATTTTGAAAAGATAGAATTGCAAATCTCTTGTACAAGTAACAGATTGTCCTTTGGTAATCAGTTCTGGATGAGGCCATCTTCAAAGAAATAAATTGCTTGAAAGGTTACCTCCCCACCTCCATTCTCCACTTCTATTCTTCAGCTATAAATACATTTTCAATTTTAATGAAAGTAAACATTAGGCATTATGAATTAATTTCTTGTTTCTCCATTTTGCTTGCATTTCATTCATTAATCTCATCTTGTCTTTCAGGTTTATTACAACAACGCAAAAGTGAACCAGGTTGATGTCCCGTCTTTGTCTGGGAATTTCGGTATTCTTCCTGATCATGTTCCTACACTTGGTGTGCTCAAACCAGGTGTTGTCACAGTTTATGAAACTGATTCTACCAAAAAATATTTTGGTATGTATTTGTATGAAATTTTGGTCATCAAATAAACACATTTTTCTATTCGTAAAATAGAAAAGAGGAAAAAATGCATTACTGTTGGCAGGATTAAAGTAAAAATTGATTTCACTATCCAACTGAGCCTTATTTATATAACAGACACAAGTTTTCTCTATCAATTTAAGTCCATTTTCTGGTCTGATATGTATGCAAAAATCTGGACAAATTGTAATACCTTCCCAAAATGCAAGAATATATATATATATATATATATATATATATATATATATATATAGTTGGATTGATATGTAGCTCTATCTCTGATATTGAGCGCTTTCCAATAAGTACCATGCATATAATTACACACACACACACACATATATATATATATATATATATATATATATATATATATATATATATATATATATAAAAATTTCTGTCTGAATTTCTGGGATGGCATCAGTTTTTCCACCTCAAAATAACATTTTAAAAGACATGAGAACATGACTGAAGGAAGCTGCATCACAAACAACATATTGTTAAAAATCATAAATGCTTGATAATAAAATAAGTAAAAATTCTATAAATCTTTGTAAAGGAATTGTTTTTTTTTTTTTTTTTTTTTTTTTATCTAGTGAGCAGTGGGTCTATTTCAATCAACGAAGACTCTTCTGTTCAGATCTTGGCTGAGGAAGCTCATCCCCTTGAAAATTTAGATCCTGCTGTAAGTACATCTTTTTATTTAACAGATAAATACTTTGGAAACCCTTCTGATCGGATTTTATTGGAATACATGCAAATAAAATTGAATGCAAGATACAAAGAAAGTGAATAGAGAATGTAGAAAAATGATGAAATTGATGACAGCATGCTGAATTTAGTCTGAAAAAGAATGTCAATTCTTTATTCTTTGAAGAATTACTCTTATTTACAGCCAAAACAACAAAATCTTCGCTTGGTTAGGAAATAAAGGAACATTTAATCCTCTTCTCTATATATTTTCCTCATTTTGTATTTTTTCTATTAGTTAACAAGTTTTGTCATCAAAATGTTTATCATTAAGAGGAAAGACCAAAGTAGTTTTTTCTTTTTAATTTTTTACTCCTTTGTAGCAAGTTCAAAATTTTAGTTAAAAATCCTGTTTTTTGTTTGTTTTTTGTTTTTTTTTATTATTATTATTATGATAGTGGTGAACTAGAAAAAAAGGTTTGTTTTATTTTGCACTTTTTCCAAGGAAAACCCACATTGATTTGAAAATTCTTGCAAAATTCAAATAATTGTCGGATTTTAATGAAACTTTCAGGACATATTCAGAAATGAATGAAATTATTTTTAAAATTTTTTTTTTTTTTTTTTTTTTTTTTTTTTAGAAATGTTACCTCCCACTTACATAATTTCGTGAAATTTCCAAAAATTAAATTTTTTAAGGTGGGGATCTTTTTTGATAGTCAAAAACAGAACTATTTGCAGAAAGTAAATCATTAATTTTTTTTTTTTTTTTTTTTTTAAACAGTTACCCGTTTCATAGAAAATCTGCTCTGAATTGTAAAATAAAAAATGCAATAAAACTATGACATTATTTAATTAGAAAAGCTTTTAATTGCTTTTGTAAATAAGTTATATTAAGGACACTATTGTCTGAAGAAATAAAATTTTTTTCGATGAATAATGAATTTTTACAAGAATTTTTTTATTTTTTTAAAAATTTTAATTATAATAATATAATAGTTCAAAAATCATTTAAAATTCTTCATTGCTTTCAAGAATGCAATTTGGTGATATTGTTAAGTGAAAAGTAAATTTATGAATCAAAATTTGAAAAGCTCATAACAGTTGTTTGTACCTGAATATTTTTAAAATAATTTTAAAAATAATTTTTAGTGAAAAAAACGTTCCTAATTTCTACCTATGGGAATCTATACATGACATAATCCTTAAAAAGGTCACATGATTTAAGTGTCATCTGACACACTGCAATTATTTCACTTTTAATTCAGTTCTGTTTCATCATTAACGTCTTTGCAAATCATCCCTTCAAAATATAAAAAAAAAAAGTTTTACTTTTCTTAATTGCTATTTCACTAAATATTTTTATTTTATGCATTTATTTTTGTTTGTGTTATAGAAATTAATTTTTTGTTTAAGGTAGTAAACTTAAGAGCTAATGAAATGCAAATTTCATAAAGATTCTTAAAAACTTAACATAAAGTCAATAAAATATTAAATAATTGCTGGAAATATGTTAATTTGTAAAAATTACTAGGTGGTTAAAAACTAAAACAAAACAAATTATGCGTTCACTTAGTTTTCGTATGTATGTCATTTCTGGTCACCCATAAGCGCTGTCATCATCTTAAAATCTTCTCCATAAATCAATAAAAATCAAAGAAATAACCTATCATTAAGAAATGTTTGTATATTGGGTTTTTTATGCTATAATTAAGTAATATTTATTTTAAATTAGATTAATTTAACTTTAAATTTTCTAATTTTACTCCAGTAACAAGTCGCAAATCTATAATTTAATTTTTAAAGAATTTTATACCCAATAAATTTGTTTCTTTATAAATTTCTTAAAAGTTGAGAATTTTTAAAAATCGAGTAATTATTTGACATTCCAATCTATATAATTTCTATCTGAAATACACCAGAATATTTTACTTACTTGAAATAATAAATTTAATCATTTAACTTTCAATTAAAATTAGAATGAAATCTTCAAGAATGCTTTTTCATTTTTAAAATTTAATTTTAAAACTTAGGTATCAAAAATTCAGTGGATACTGTAAAATAGATATAATCCGAGATCTGAAAAACACTTTCTATAGAATAGAGTTTATCAACAAGATTTGATTTTGCCTGGATTAATATAACCATTAATTCATCATCCCACTGAAGATGAATATTTTTTTGTTTCATTTAATACAACTTGGATTTTTTTTTTATTTTTTTTTTTTTTTTGACTTCATTAGTTTAAAGACCTGGATGAATTTGGTTCTATGAGGTGAATTCTAATTGATTTGGACATCTATGGCCTGTGATTCCATTATTTCTAATGCTAGTTTCATTCTTTTTGTCTCTTTGATTGACAAAGGAGGATGAAGTGCTTAGACTTTATGCCATCTTAGAAAATTTAGAAGCAATTCATTTAAATTTGATAACCCATGATATTTGTAGCCATAACTAATCTACCAGTTAGAGGAATTTAAAATGCCTTCTCATTATTTTAACCAAATTAAAAGAACTTCTAGAATATCAATTTTGTACATGTATGAATTAATATAGAACAAACACTGATCAAATCTTTATTGGAAGAAAATGATAATTTGGCTAAATATATGGTCTTCTAAATATGCTTAGTTCAGAAAAGGATTTTATAAGCATAGGCTTTAAATCGTTGTTTATATTTTGATATGGCTGGGTATACTGCTTTAGTTGTAGAGAAAATGTTTCAGTCATTAGTTCTTTGATTTACAATTTTTGGTAGTTGTCAATCAAAAGAATTAAATATTTGTTTTAATAAATTTATTAATTTGTATTTATATTTTCATTATTGTTATCAATCTGTTTTAGCTGTTCTTCAGGGCAAAATATTTAACACCTTCTTAAATACTGAAATGAAAAAAAAAATTGGCATTTAAATCCTTTTTCAATTTCTCAATAAATCTAAGGCAACTCTAGAACATCAATTTTTTTCAGTCTTCACAGAATTTTTAACCCTCCACCCCACCAAGTTCTTTCGATTATTATTTTTTAAGCAGCCAGGCCCCATGAATATTATCAGAAAGAAAATTAAAAATGTTATTAATGTTTTATAAATTGGGACAGTTAGCAATATACATTGGAATAAATCCATTTTTGTATAAGTCAACCCAATTCATAAAAGGGGATTAAAATCATTTGAAATTTTTTAAAGATTATTTTTAATAGTTTGGCTAGAAATCTGTTCCCCTGAGTCATGTTATTTTGTTGGGCTAATATTTTTAAACCCCCAAATCACATGCTAGAAACATTGTTTTCTTCATGCAAAATTTTTATGAATACTATCAACAAAATTTATTTAAGTCAATATTTGAAAAAATTAAAGCTATTAAAGAAAATAGTGAATTAAAAAATTCAAGATTGTTTTCTTTTTGATAATCCCTCAAAACTTTGCATCCAACAAAGTCCATGATGGTGTATTCTGAGACTTTTATTATTTTAAAATAGACTTCTCAGTTGGGCCACTTGGACAGAATAGCTCGACTGCTTGAGTTGCCAGCAAAGTAAATATCCAGTTGAGAGATTTAATTTGCTAAGTAGAAACTTAAATTTCAATGTGTTTCATTGGAGTTTTCCCCCTTTAATATTTTTTTTTTTTTTTTTTTTTTTGTGTAAATTTTTTACTAATGAATATTTCAATGGATTATCTTTTCAATGATTTTAAAATAATTAAAAATATTTAAAGTTTGTTTATAAAAGTTTGAAAAAAAAAGCCCTTTTGAAATTTTACAAATTTGAATCTCTTTAATTGTAACTCACATTTAAAAATATGTTTGGTATGTTATGACAAAAAACTGTACTAGATGTGAATGATCCACTTACTTCTCAGTTATTGTGACTGCTACAGTTGCACAATCTCTCACTTAATTGTATCACACTACTAATCGAGTAATGCTAGGTGAGAGCATCTGTTTATGCATGCATCAATAGGATTAGATCAACCATGATCTTGGACAAGTCTTGATAGTTGGGACGTTAAATAATAAAACACAGAAATTGTTTTATTTCTAATTTCTACTGTCATTTGAGGAAATCAATTTAAAAATTGAAATCTTTAAATTCTTTGATATTCATGTGATGTTAACTAAAATGATAATCTGGCCAAAGTATTCTATGCTCTTGTAAAGAAAGAAAAAAGTGAATAAATGAAAGTAATCGAATGTTCGATATTTGTTTGGGAAATATCAAAAAAGAAAATAACTATGAAAAAAAGCATAAATGATTTGTTCAAATTGCAGGCAAATTTTAAATTTAACTAAACACTATTTGTAAATTTTCTTTTTGTTTTAAAAAGATTTTTATTTTGATAATGAACTCTTTGAACTATTGTAGATAATATTTTGAATTTACTTATTTTAAGCAACTGTCTTATATTTGGAAAAAGTATATCAGTTTCATTTTAACTGCATTGCTTTATGATACATTCATTACGAGATAAGTGTGTTTGGGTTGACACTAAATTCACATTATTCACAATGTTTTTTTTATATTGAAAACACTTTACGGGTATAATAAAGAAAATAATGTTTATTGCATATTTCTAATGAAAATGTAACTTGTAAATGCCTATTAAAATGGCTCAATTTATTATTCATTGTATTGTTTCCCAGATATTGGATAAAAATGGTGGGAAATAATCTGTCAATTCAAAAAATTTGGTTGGGCAATTTCTTTAGAAAAACATTCTTTATTTACACACACACACACACACACACACATATATATATATATATATATATACACACACACACAAATGAGAGAAAGAACAGATGGAGTAAAAATCCACTGTTTGTAGTATTTACTTTTAAAAAATGCTCAATACAAAGAAATATATCATTTTTATTATAAGAGATTATAATAAAAACATTGAAATCACTTCACAAAAGCTTTTATGTTTCAATACTATATGAAGTACAATCATAGTATTGAAACATGAAAGCTTTTATGTATCAATTTCAAAAAAAATGTTTTTATCATAATCTCTTATAATAAAAAATTATATATATAATGGATCTATTTTTAATTCTGCATATTACTTCAAATATTATTATAGTGGGTACTTCATATCTGAAATAGATGCCCCATTTTTATTTATTAAACAGTGCTGCAAAACACATTTTCTTTACTAAAAATTCTTGAATGTACAGGCTGATAGACTAATACACAATGTGGGGAACAATGGATAATCTGTAAGTGGCACCCAGAGGATCCTTTTAGAGCAGTAGTTCTTAACCTTTTCCTATCCAGTACCGCTAAGATTTTGATATTCCATCTCTCACCCCCAGCAGATGAGTAAAAAAAAAAAAAAAAAAATGGTTTTATTGTTGAAATGGAAGAATTTTTCATGTAGATGTTATAAAAATACATTTAGAATAAAAAATTATTTTTAATTTTTTTGATTGCCCATTTCATCAAATCTGGGTAAAATCTAGGAATGTAAGATATGCTGTTGTTTCTTGCCTTAACCTAGCCTAATGCACAGTGAGGTCTCGTGGTTGGTTGCCAAGTTAAATGAAGGCCATACAACGAGGTTCTCAAGATCTTCAAAATGGTTGCATACTGATTATTGTTTTCTTTTTATTGCATCTTATGACAGACTGAAATATTGTCCTTGTTAGGCAATTCTAACTTCAGCTTCTGATACACGCACACATTAAATGGATGTTGTATGTATTTACTAATTTCAATTCAAGGTTAATAAATGAGTATATAGATGGTATTGGGATCGTCTTTTGCAGGTTGGGGGAGGGGCGTTTAGCTAGTTACCTGCCTTGAAAATCTTACCTTTTACCTCCACTTGAAACCAACCATTAGTGTTTGTGAGAAATAAACATTTTCATTTTTCCACTGGCCAAAGCACAGGCCCTTTTATCATTTATACATAAAGACGTAATATTGAAACTTTTAAAAGCTCTCCTGATATATGCAGACATAAATCTAATGTTTTATTGCATAAAAATTCTCTCTTTTTAACTAATTAGTGGTAAAATGTTTCATTTTTCAGGCAATCCGTGATGGAATGGCCAAAGCCCAGCAGGAATTCAGTACTGCTTCAACTGATAAAGACAAAGCAGAAGCCCAAATAGCATTAGATTGTTATGAAGCATTGCAAAAAGCCTTAGAGTAAAGTAATATGTGGATGTATGTGTGTTTAGCAATTGTATCAACATAACAACATGAGCATATAGGTGATATTACGAATGAGTGTTCCTCAAAAATTAAAAAAACAAAAAAAAAAAAACTGTCTTTTGTTTTTCTTTTTTTTTTTTTTTCTTTTAGGCCAACAGAATTTTTTTTTTTTCAGCTGTAGCTTTAGTTCATATGAATTCAAAACAGAAGGAAGCAGTAACCATTTAAAATAAAAACAGTCAGTTTCTGTCACTGTTTAAATGGTTGGTTAAAATGTCAGATTTTGAGAAGTGGGTCAGGCTGAAAATTTTTCTTTCACACATCCACGTTCTCAATCTATTACATATACATGATGCGATGGATAAATTGTCGTCTAAATTATGCAAAAAAAAAAAAAATTAAAACGAGACTTACATCTCACTTTAACAGATATATTTACCAAAATTAAACAAAAATATCTGGAAATACTAAAGAGTAAATTTATGCAATAAAATCGCTATGGCCTCCAGATTACTTTTGAATCTCCTGCAAGTCTTCTGGACAGTCTCCTTGTTTAAGTAGATGAATGCTGTCATAATCCTTGCCTTCATCTCATCTTTGGTGTTACAAGGACTTTTGTTGGTCTCTTTCTCAAGTGCATGCTACACATAATAATTAAGGGAGTTGCAGCCTGAGGAGTTAGGTGAACAAATGTAAGGGGTGATGTGGTCATGGAATTGTCTAACAGGCATGACTGGGTTCTCCTGCTTGTGTATCATGATGCAGGGTCCTGTTGCCAGACATAGGCTCTTCCAGCAGCCACCATCTTGACCTAGGACAGAACTACCTTCTCAAGGCAATTGATATAGGCTTCCATGTTGAGTCTGAGGTCCTCACCAACAAATTCAGGAGTTCTTTTCTTATCAGAATGACTAGTGTTAGTTTTCCTGAGCTGCCGTGCCTTCTTAATCACCATTAGACTCCTCCAACTCTTTCTGAATCCTCTGAACTGTCCTCAGATTGACACCTAAACATTCTGAAAGGTTTGTATTGTTTGAATGTCAAGCAGTGCAATATGTCGTTACCAAATTTCTGGCAGAGTGAATTGCATCATGGTGCTCTTTTTCTCACAGATGTTGCCCGACTACCTCTACTATACTGTGCAGTTGACAAAATCAAAAACCAACAACATGCATGCACAAAATTAAAAATATAAAATGTCATCACACCATTTATATATATATATATATATATATATATATATATATATATATATATAGTGCTCAATGTTATTATTAATATTAAAAATTGACTTAACTGTAAATACTGTAAACATCGAATTCTTTTTAGTTGTTGCATCTCCAACTCCAACGTTTCTTGATTCACACCATTCTTCAGGGATTTCTGTATTTAAATGGGTTTATTTCCAATATTTTTTAAAAAAAAACTTTCAAAAAAAAAATTGGAAAAATGCCCATTTAAATACAGAACCTCCTGAAGAATGGTGGGCATCAAGAAACAAAGACATTTTTATGTTTATACATTCTTTTTATAGATACAAATATTTAAGTAAATGCTCTGTTTTATAATAAACAGTATTAATAACATTTACCGGCCTGAATGTCTGAGAAATTTTCATAGAAAATATTCAGGCTGGTAAATGTTATTAATACTGTTTATTATAAAACAGAGCATTTACTTAAATATTTGTATCTATAAAAGAATGTATAAACATAAAAATGTCTTAAATGATTGTCAGACTTTCATAATTTGACATATATATATATATATATATATATATATATATATATATATATATATATTGAGGAATCGCAGAAAAAAGGGCCAATTCCAGTGAAATCCACTGCATTCACTTACGTGCTAATACCCTTGGGAAAGGTATGTATCCTTCTTCATCTCCCTCCAGCTATGGGTAAAATAGCAGGACAGACTGGGTTCTATAGCCTTGGGTGGCAACTGGTCTAGGAGAAGGACAACTCTGAATTCAAAACCTGGAGGGTCGGTTTTGGGAATCTTGTGGCATGCATTCGGTGCACCAGGTTTCTGTATTCCCCTCCAAAAAGTTGTGTGGCTGGTCCTGCACGAGGCCTTCACCACTATAATCAAATCTCATGTGCCGGTGTCAGGATGTCAGTTTCCTGGAGACTTATAAAAATGATATAATTTCAAAAATGAACGCGACGGAGAGTCAATATATATATATATATATATATATATGAAAGAATATTTAGAACAGTCAAAAATGCAAGTAATGTTCATAGAATTATTTTATAACTCTGGCACTGATACAAATCCACTTAGTGAGAATAAAATATAGATGTTGATACAATATAATAGCATCTAAAACTCACTCATCTGGTATTGTTATACAATTAGATTCTTGTTAGGGCTGCCAAAAAGAAATATAATCTATCAAAAAAGACAATTCCTATTTTTCCTTATTGATTTTGAAATGATCTAAATTCTTAAAGAATTTTTTTTTAATTTCTAGTTTTCATTTCTCCCTTATTGCTTGTTTTTTCTTTTCTTTTCTTTTTTTTTTTAAAATCCAAATTCTTGAGGCTCTAACATTCTTCAGACAATAAGCAGCATGGTATGTAATGAAAGCAGTAACTTCCCAGCAAGAATTGAATCCTGAAAGCATATTTGATGTGGACATTGCCTTAGCTGATTCAGTCATAGAAAGTATGGGTAGCTAAATCTACCTTTCTCATTCACTTTTAAAAATTATGAATTTATATTTTCTGATAAAATATAAGATTTTTGTTGGCAATAACTGACTATATAGAGAAAATTTTGTCTTGCTGTATGGTCCATCTATGCCCAATGAATCAAAAACAGTTGTCTGTAATTCAAAAGATTTTTAAGAAAGGAACATTTAAAAACTACTTTTGTCATTGAGAATATATTTGTGAATGTATAGTGATTTACTAAGCATAGTTTAGATGTGGCACAAGGCTGAAAGTATGGAGCACCCAGTGAGAATTGAACTCCCTATTCAGTTGAAATTGAGACAAGCTTCTTAATCATTACATCATGCCAAAGTGGCTAAATTTGTGAGTGTATATATTAAGAATAAAATCACAAATGTATTTGATATTTTGATCACATTTAAATTTATAATTTACTGTATGTATGTCTGGGCTCCTATTCTCAATTCTTACCCACTGAAAAATTTCTTCACAGAAATAGTCTAGATTTATATTCTATATGTCCTGAAGATCGATTGAGGTGTGAAAATAAGTCAGCATGTTGATTTCTATGTTCACAATCTCTATTGTTTGCTAAGAAAATTGATAAATATTTGCTGAATAGTGTTTGTTAAAAAAAAAAAAAAGAATCTAAAGTGAAAATTATAGATGTGACAGTTCATGACCAACCAATTCAGATAATGTCGCCTTAAAAACAAAACAAAAAAGGCACAGACAATATTGTTCGACATCAGTCCATCTGATTTGGAAAATTGCAACCATTTCCATTTTTTAATTTTTTCCATGTAACTTTCCTGTGCCTTTTCTATAAATACTTTTATGGTAATTGTTCTGATGACTTTGCTAATTTAAGTGTAGTACTAGATTGACAGCAAGGTCTCCTCAATTTACAATTGAAAAGCATGAGATGTAACCATAAGTCCTTTGCTAACAGTTTCTTTCGCACTTCTCACTTGTGGAAATCTCTTCTGGCTTCTTGCTTTCCAGTCAACTTTGATCTTCAAAAATTTATATGCAATGTCAAAATCATTATTTTTTGTCTTCTTGATTCCTCTTTTCTTGTTTTCACTCCTTATAGTTTTTCATATTTTTTTTAACACTTGGTAACCCCTTGTATCTTAGTGGTATTATTACCTTGCTTAAGGTGAAATAATTAAATTACTGCAAGATCTTTCTGGAAAATTCAAGTTACCAGAAAATTTGTGTGTAGATTTGCTGATTGTCTCTCCATAATTATGAGTTCTACCTGATAACAATTTTTTTTTTTTTTTTTTTTTACTGGGGAGGGGGTGAATTAAATCCAAATTTAAGATTGTCAGCAGTCTAAATGAGATAAAAAGCAAGAAGAGTTGCCACGTCACTAGATAGGAGTGAACTGGGCTGCATTTGAAAGCAGATAGCGATTAAATTTTGAATTGACTTTCTTCTCACTAGTCACCCAAGTTAGATCAGCTATTTAAAGAAAAAAAAAAATTTGATGGTAATTCAAAATTTAGTAGTTCAGGATTTTCAAAAATGGACAAATCTGTTAAGAATTTACATCCAGAGCAAAAAATGAACCATTTCATTGGTTTTATCAACAAATTAAAAAAACAAAAAAACAAAACTGTTCAAATTTTCCAAACATATTCAGTCTCATTTTTAACAACTTTCTGCTTTCAGACAAATAAGTATGATGTTTGAAAGTTAAAAATTACTGGTAAGTAAAAAAGATGTCAGTGTTTTTCATTCAGATATATTTATACGTTTGGCAAAAGCCCACAATACTTGGGCACCCTGTAAAGATCAAATTCATGACAATCATCCTGTGAAACCAGTTTGCTAACTTTCATAAGCACAAGATATTGACTAAACTAAATTTAATGGAGATAAATTCACTGTGTTAATGAATGACCAATGAGACTATCTTCTTAATTATTTTAATTTGGTATTTATTAACTTTCATTCAAACTAACACAGAGCTATGCAGGAGTACGAAGACATGTCTGCCACTTCGCTTTATCTGGACTTAAATACTGACTGCTGGTGCATATAAGGAATACACAACTATCTCTGCTATGAAGAAACTAATAAAGTTATATATATATATATATATATATATATATATTTATTTTCTTTTTCTTTTTTGCGGCCTCAGCCAAGATTGAACTCTCTACATCTTTCCAGTCGCTACCTTCAATACTTGGTGTAGTTCATAATCTTGTCAATAGCTGAATTCTTTATGCTTTGCTAGGGCTATCAAGGGTGTTTTTTTTATCGTGACACCATCACTAAATGGATTGC